GCTTCAAGGTTCTGTTATTCTGTACCTCTGAGATACTAGGAACTAGCCTGGCGTGGTGGCATGCACCTGTAATCCTAGCTACACAGGAGGCTGAGGCGGGAGGATCACTTGAGCCCAGGAAGCCAAGGCTGCAGTGAGCCAAGCTAGTGCCACTGCACTCCAGCCTGAGCGACAGAGATCCTATCCCCGCCCCCCTCCCCCCGCCAAAAAAAAAAAAAAACAATACTTCTCTGGTCCTTCCATGAGGTGGGTTTTGTCCCTCTGACATTAAATTACATTCCATAAGACAAAATAGCTCACTATTTGGCCCAGAGAAAGGGTAACCCTATTTTCAAGTCATCCCACATTATTTTGACATCTTTAAGAGAATAGCGTTATCTCTCATCCTTTGGCCTCTGGTTAGAGAGAACCTCTGCTTTGCCACCATGTGACCGTACTTGAATTTCCTTTAGCTCAAACTTAGTATCATCCGTCTCATCATGCATACACACACACAATATTTTAGAAAACGAATTAAGCTTGACTTATTTGCTTTATAGGTAAATCACCATCTGAGCCTCTGATTCCCAAGAGGGTTGGTCTTATTCACATATCCCAAGTCATGTCAGAAGTTGATGGTAATAGGATGACCTTGAGCCAAGGAGCACAAGATTCCTTCCCTCTTCAGCAGAAGATCTTGGTCTGCTCTTTGATGCTCTTGATCAGGCAGTTGAAAATCAAAGAGGTCACTCTGGGGAAGGTAAGTTGGGATGGAGCAGACAGAGCGGAGGTAGAGATCAGAATCTGCTTTGCAGAGCAGGTATTTTCCAAAAGGCCTATGATACTTCAGCTGATATGAATTTGCAATGGATTTTAACAGTAAGAATTAATACTGGTACTCTATAAAAGGCACCTATTTCCCTTGGGTTGTGGTTGAGAGTTTACCATTAATCTTTTCCCCATACTCCCCTTCATTTCTGCATCTCTCTATGAAATACATAAAGCCCCTTTCCTACATTACTGTATAGGTTTTCGGGAATATCTACAGAAGCCTGTTCAAGGATTTTATTGAAAAGAGGAAGAAATAGGGTATTCGGATAAGTTTTTGCAAACCTAGACTCAGGTTTCTTAAATGATTAAAGGCGGCCGGGCGCGGTGGCTCAAGCCTGTAATCCCAGCACTTTGGGAGGCCGAGACGGGCGGATCACAAGGTCAGCAGATCGAGACCATCCTGGTTAACACGGTGAAACCCCGTCTCTACTAAAAAATACAAAAAACTAGCCGGGCGAGGTGGCAGGCGCCTGTAGTCCCAGCTACTCGGGAGGCTGAGGCAGGAGAATGGCGTAAACCCGGGAGGCGGAGCTTGCGGTGAGCTGAGATCCGGCCACTGCACTCCAGCCTGGGCGACAGAGCGAGACTCCGTCTCAAAAAAAAAAAAAAAAACAAGAATTGTGAGGCTAGGTGTGGTAGTTCACACCTGTAATCCCAGCACTTTGGGAGGCCAAGGCAGGCGGATCACCTGAGGTCAGGAGTTCGAGACCAGACTGAACAACAAGTAGAAACCCCGTCTCTACTAAAAAAAAATACAAAAAACTAGCCGGGCGAGGTGGCAGGCGCCTGTAGTCCCAGCTACTCGGGAGGCTGAGCCAGGAGAATGGCGTAAACCTGGGAGGCGGAGCTTGCAGTGAGCTGAGATCCGGCCACTGCACTCCAGCCTGGGCGACAGAGCAAGACTCCGTCTCAAAAAAAAAAAAAAAAACAAGAATTGTGAGGCTAGGTGTGGTAGTTCACACCTGTAATCCCAGCACTTTGGGAGGCCAAGACGGGAGGATCGCTTGAGCCCAGGATTGTGAGACCAGCCTGGGCAATATAGTGAGACCTTGTTTCTACAACAAAATTTTAAAAATTTTGCAGCCATTAGAAATATGAGTTCATATCCTTTTTAGGGACATGGATGAAGCTGGAAACCATCATTCTCAGCAGAGTAACACAGGAACAGAAAACCAAATACCACATGTTCTCACTCATAAGTGGGAGTTGAACAATGAGAACACATGGATGCAGGGAGGGGAACATCACATGCCGGAGCCTGTCAGGGGTGAGGGCCAAAGGGAGGGAGAGCATGCCAGACTTAAAACCTAGATGAGGGGTTGATGAGTGCAGCAGGCCATCATGGCACATGTATACCTATGTAACAAACCTGCACATTCTGCACATGTACCCCAGAACTTAAAGTTAAAAAAAAAAAAATTAGACAAGCATGGCGTGTGCCTATAGTCCTAGCTACTTGGGAGGGTGAGGCAGGAGAATCACTTGAGCCGGAAAGGCAGTGGTTGCAGTGAGCTGAGATCGTGCCACTGCACTGCCAGCCTGGGCAACAAAGTGAGACTCTGTCTCAAAAGAATAATAAGAAGAAAAATTATAAGTTCAACTTGGGATAGATATCTCAAGCTTTTAAAGAAGTCTAGAGGGTAGAGGTAAAAATATCATACTGCTACAGTAAGCTACACGCTATCACAAATGACAAAACTAATTTTCCATTCCCTCAGCCCTGTTGTTTTGGTTGTGGCAAATGTAAAATGGCCATGAACTACATATCTTACAGTATTTGATATCCAGTGTTAGTCTTTATAAACAGAATAATAAGATTTGATTGTTTCTTTTTCACTCTTACACTGGCTGGGAGTTAGTAAAATTGTTTCTGGCATTATAGTTCTGCATGAAATTCTTTCTTTTTTTCATCAATTTGCTGAAATAAAATAATTAAAAATATTTCAGAAGTGGCCAAAAATAGTGCTTAGGCTAATAGTAGGCAATATATACCAATGTATAGACTTAGATACTAGTTTCTTCTTCCATTTCAACTTTTCAGATTATTCCCTTTTCCTCCTTTTTCCCCACCAGTAACATTTAGGCTTGTCACTGGCCCCTGTGAGCACCACTAGCACAAACATAATTAAAAGAGGTAAAGAGGTTGTAAGTTCTATCTTTTGACTTCGGGTTTGTGTGGGATTGGCTTTTTTCTTTTTCTTTTTTTCTTTTTTCTTTTTCTTTTTTTCTTTTTTCTTTTTGTGTGAGACAAGATCTTGCTCTGTCTCCCAGGCTGGAGTCCAGTGTGCAATTATGGCTGGTGCGATCATGGCTCACTGCAGCTGCAACCTCCCAGGCCCAAGCAGTCCTCTCACCTCAGCCTCCCCAGCTCCAGCTACTGCTAATTTTAAAATTTTTGTAGAGTCAATGGGTGGAGGAGTCTCCTTATGTTGCCCGGGCTGGTCTCAAACTTCTGGAATGAAGTGATTCTCCTGCCTCAGCCTACCACAGCTTTGGAATTACAGGCATGAGCCACCATACCAGGTTGAGATTGGCTTTTAATGGCTCCAGAAAGCTACAGGGAGAATGACTTCAACTAAATATAAGAAGAACATTTCTAATAACTAGAACTAACTGGGCTTCCTTGAAACATAGTGGGTTCTCCAGCATTGAAGATATTCAGACAAAAGCTGGATAGATGCCACTTGTTGAGATTGTTTTAGAGAGGACTCGGCCATTGGGTAGGGAGTAAAAATAGACTTCTAAATTCCTTTCAGTTTTAAGATTCTCTTACTTGATCTGTGATCTCCGGTTTCTCCATTAGTCCTCTGCAGCATCCCTTTGTGGTAATATAATATTATAGAAGTAAATTGTTGTGGGACAACTGCAAGTGATTTCAGGAAGTAACTTCAGGCAAAGGTTATTACAGAGAACATTTCTCTGTCTTGAAATTCATGCATCTCCAAACGATGAGGCCATAGTCTTTTTTTTTTTTTGAGACAGGGTCTTGCTCTGTCACCCAGGCTGGAGTACAATGGCGTAATCTTGGCTCACTGCAACCTCCTCCTCCCAGGCTCAAGCCATCCTGCCACCCCAGCCTCCTGAGTAGCTGGGACCACCGGCACACACCACCACACCCCGCTGTTTTTTTGTATTTTTAGTAGAGATGGGGTTTCACCTTGTTGCCCAGGCTGGTCATGAATTCCTGAGCTCAAGCCATTAGTTATTTTTCCTGATCCTCTCCCTCCACCCTCCTATAGGCCCCAGTGTGTGTTGTCCCCTCTGTGTGTCTATGTGTTCTCATCATTTAGCTCCCACTTAGAAGTGAGAACATGTGGTATGTGGTTTTCTGTTCCTGCAGTAGTTTGCTAAGGATATAGTCTTATGCAGCTTATTGGCAATTTCCCAACCCCTGGCTTTTATTAAGATGATGATATCTGACCAGGCATGGTGGCTCACGCCCATAATCTCAGCGCTTTGGGAGGCGGAGGAGGGCAGATTGCTTGAGCTAAGGAGTTCAAGACCAGCCAGGGCAACATGATGAAACCCCATCTCTACAAAAAATACCAAAAAAAAAAGATGGTGCTATCTGCTAGCATATCTAGTGACATTTTCTCAAGTGTTGCTCTACTGCTGATCAGCTTGGGCAAGTGAACCAAACCTCAAAGGTCATTTGGGGAAGCCCTCTGAAGGACTGATATGGCAGTGACTTCACTCGCCACATTTAGCCGCTCATTTGATCCAAAATATTAGGGAATTTTCCAACCTTTTTTCCTTTTTTTTTTTTTTTTT